GAAATACAAAATTCTTCAAAAATAGACTAATGTGGAAGACGATGTCTGGCCGCGTTAAACAAGTTCCACAAGATTCAACAGAATGAGCTAGAACAGATACGGGGCATAGTACTGATAAACATCCACACGTGTGATATCGATATTGACTCTAGTTCTGAACCCTCTAGTAATAAGTTATAAGAAATATATATACTGGAAGTTATTTATGCGTTTTTATTAGAGTCTGACTCACGTCCTCTATACTAAATTCATAAATTTTATGTTTCAAGGTAAAAGTTGGAGTATTTCTTTAAAGGGACCGTTCTCTTATTTGGGTAATTTTATGGTAAACTAAACAGCCTTTTCGCTGTTGATTGGTATTAGTCTTAAACTTTTCAAAGAAAACTGTGGCCGGAGAAAAAGCCGATTTTTGTTCAGAATTCGAGCGCAAAGGTATGGTACCTTTATGAGAAATAGTATATTAGACTTTTTTCAGCAACAACAGCCCAATAAAATTTAAATTCATCATATCTTAATGTCATTATGTGTACGTTATTATTTACTAAAATTGAAAACTTTTGATATGTTAGTTAACAAGAAATTTACGTTTTTCCTATTAAAACGTGTAAAATGTGTATACAAAGAAGACGTTCTCTATGACAATCAATTAATCATTACACAATTTCAATTTCCAGATTCAACTCGGCGTTTGATGTAAATAAAATATACATCTTACTTGCAAATTCAGGCGTGTACACAGGATTTTAGCCAGGGGGGCAACACCACAAAAATACATCAAAAAGACTACATTTTATAATGCTGAAGAGCAATCAGGTATTTTCATAGTATATGATACGATTTTTGTAACCCCCCCCCCCCCCCTCCTATCAATTTTGTAACCATATGCGCGCATGCCGCGTTCAATTTAGTTTTTTACAGAAATACAAATGTTTAATGCAATAAAATAGTGTTATTTTAGAAATAGAAAGTTAAAAAACAAAAAAATTAAAAAAATTATGACATTTACAATTAACGATTAGATACTACAGTTTAATTTTATATTGGAAATTTATTTTGATCGAAACATATTGAAAAAACATCAAATAGTGTAAATAGAGAGGTATCATTCATACCTTTGTGCTCGAATTCTGAATGAAAAATCGGCTTTTTCTCCGGCCACAGTTGTCTTTGAAAAGTAAGACTATTACCAATCAACAGCAAATAGGCTGTTTAGTTTACCCTGAAATAAGTGAACGGTTCCTGTAAAAGTTGTAAAACTTAACCCTTAAATGGATATTTTATGCAACAAGTGGCTGTTATATGGTAATTAAAAACCCATCGTAGAAAAGTAGCAAGGCATGCCAGGACTACAATAGGCCTACTAAGCTATCCCGTGGGAGCGTATGAGCAGTCTGTGTTAGTCTGTTCTTTGATTACAATAAAGGTGTACTGCAGTTTCTAGGAGGAATATCAATAAAGGTGTACCGCAGTTTCTAGGAGGAATATCAATAAAGGTGCACTGCAGTTTCTAGAAGGAATATAAATAAAGGCGTACTGCAGTTTCCCGAAGGAATATAAATAAAGGTGTACTGCAGTTTCTAGAAGGAATATAAATAAAGGTGTACTGTAGTTTCTAGGAGGAATATAAATAAAGGTGTACTGCAGTTTCTAGGAGGAATATAAATAAAGGTGTACTGTAGTTTCTAGGAAGACTANCGACACACACAATAAACATAAAAAGTATTATATAACCTATTTCATGTTTATTAGAGCCCATTCTACCAATGTGCACACGTCTAACCAACAGAGTATCATGTCCGCATAGGAATATTTTTCGTTATATTTTGATCCTTCATTTAAAATCCGTTAAAAATAACGTAAGAAATCGTAATTAATTAAATATTTGAAATATATAGTTCAATCAAAAATATTAAATAGCATAAACGACCAATTTTCATTGAAGGGGTGAAAATGGGATTGAAAGTTAAGATTCATTGGACTTATAATTTGTTCCTCTGGTTTACCGTGTGCAGGAAGTATTTAACTGGCAACCTAGCAGAGCAAATGCATATTTCTGCATGACTCAAATCAATTTATTTAGTTCACGACTCTAGCAAAACAATCTGTGCAAAATTATGCACCTTGTCATTGCTGATCATTTAGTCATCTCAGTCATTCTTTTGGCAATATTTTTTAACCTCAAAAATAGAACAAAAAGCAATGAGAGAAGTATGTCGAGAATAGCTTTGAAATGAACGAAAATAAAATTAATTTTTAAGATAGTTAAAGTTGAAGTTTTGAATCTAGTTCTAAGTTTTGATTCTAAGTTCTAGAAGTTTTAAATCTTGTTCTAGAAGTTTTAAATCTTAGTCTAGAAGTTTTGAATCTAGGTTTAGAAGTTTCAAATCTTGTTCTAGACGTTTTTATTCTAGTTCTAGAAGTTTTAAATCTTGTTCTAGAAGTATTCAATAAAGTTCTAGAAGCTTTAAATCTAGTTCAAGAAGTTATCAATCAAATTCAAATTAGGTCTAGAAGTTTAAAATCTTGGTCTAAAAGTGTTCAATCTAGGTCTAGAAGTGTTCAATCTAGGTTAGAAGTTTAAAATCTAGGTCTAACAGTTTGAAATTTAGTTCTGGATGTTTAAAATCTAGGTTTAAGTTTAAATCTTGGTCTATATGTTTTAAATATAGCTCTATAAATTTAAATATAGCTCTAGAAGTTTTAAATCTTGGTCTATAAGTTTTAAATCTTGGTCTAGAAGTATTCAATCTAGTAATAGAAGTTATAAATCTTGGTCTATAAGTTTTAAATCTATACACTATAAGTTTTAAATCTATACACTATAAGTTTTAAATCTAACTCTAGAAGTTTTAAATCTTGGTCTAGAAGTTTTAAATCTTGGTCTAGAAGTTTTAAATCTAACTCTGAAAATTTCAAATATAAGTTAAGAATCTAGCACTAGAAAAATCACTTGTTCTGTACTAAACCAAGCCTCTAATTCCCCGCTACCCTGTAATCCAGCCTTCTAGTCCTACTCTTCATGGCCCCCAGCCCAAGCCTGATCTTGTTTTTGACGAAATATAAGATGATGAAATAAATGCTTTTAGTCCAAGGTTCACAGCTTCCTAGCATTCAAAACAACCGTGATCAGGCTTTCTTGTCATCTGCTGCCGAAATATTTTATAAAAAGTAACCAATATTCCTATTTTATCATCCTTTTATCTTATTTCCTTTCAAATTTTCATAAATATCCCTCTAACGGATTTGTTTAGATAACTTTTTTTAATGGTGTATTATGAATGTGCAGTATTATAAAACATATAACTGTTCAGTTTACGTGTTATATACAAGAGGTCCCAAAATATATTTTAAATCTTTTTTTTATACCATGCTTTATTTACGTTATTAGGATATATAAAAACATACCTTGAAAAGGATATATAAAAACATACCTTGAAAAGGATATATAAAAACATACCTTGAAAAGGATATATAAAAAACGGAAACCCAAAATACTAGTAGTTTTTCATCAGAGTCTCATCCTTTGTATCTATAAGCCCTGATTAGTTGTTTACGTTAACGTTCATTAAACATTAATAGAAAAAAACAGTCAAAATTGAAAATCCCAAAACTCCAAAAATGCAACAACAAAATTTTTTTTTCGGACTTGGCATAGATAAGTTAGATTACGAAATGGCTCAATATAATTTCATTTACTACAAGAAATATAATTACATAAAAAGTTAAATTTCATTTTGAGAAATACATATGTGGTAAATTAATAAATTTTAACTTTTTAAGATATGATTGCTTCCAAAGTAAATATTTAAAATAAAATTTTAAGTAAATTTAAATGAAAAATAATCTAAATGAAATGATTTTTTTTTAAATACGATTGAGCCAGATGTAAAATGTTAAATAATACCAGAACCGTTGATCATGTAAGAGCTGTATCAGAAAACATACATATATAAACATTATTCACCAACTACTAAGACCGCCCCGACTCACCCTGGACTAATCAGGGCGCAATTCGATGATTTCTTAAATTTGAATTAATTTTGTCGATAATTCATGAATCTGTAAAACTACGGAGTTGTCTTCTCATATTTTTATTTCAAACTTGAACACCAACAAACAAGTATAAAAGAGAAAATGCAAAATATTATGATTAAGAGGTAAAATTATGATAGAAAGTCACAACTTTCTGGGATTATTGCTGAATTGTTAAATTCGCGGGGACTTTAAAGATTTGGAAAGTTTTGGCTCTTTCATTGACATTTTCTACTCAGATTTTTTTAAATATTTTCTCGTTCCCGGTATTTGCCAAACTACTAAAAAAATGAATATTTCAGTTGATTTATTTTGTTTAACCGGGACTTGGATCTTGATTTCCTTGAATTCATGAATATCTGGAGCAAAATGTCTAATCTAGCTCTTCTACTAAATAAACTTATCAATCAATCAATTTAACATAAGCACGTGACTTCTGATACGTGACAGGACTGATGCATTATGCATTTTTTTTGGCATAAAACAGAAAATTGTCAATAAGTTACATCTCGGAAACTTCTTTTTTCTATATCTTACTCTGATTCTAGATGATAGTAAACCCTGACTTAGAACATGAATATTTACAGAGAACAGAAAACAAGAAAAGGTAAAATCACAATTAAGTTGTCATCCTAGGAGCTGATAGTTGTCATCCTAGGAGCAGATAGGAATAATTGTTAAGAAGAAAAATTAAGTTAAACTAATTTTTCAGACACCCACCCACTTTGTATTTACAAAATAATCTTTAAAGATGGCGGCGAATATTCTTCTTATTTTCACCACAGAGACCAGAAATTGCATCCCGGAAAAACATGAATCTCAAAGTCTGAAATTATCCAATATTCTCCAGAACCTACCTTGAGTCTCCGGGTCTCCCTGGATACAGAGGCATGCTCGGAGAATTCTAAACTTTGTACTTTACTTGTTTATTCGTAATCCATCTAACACGTTTTCATCTCGAAAATTAGGATTTAAAACTTCGTCAGTTAGTTCTAGATCTTCTCCATATTCACACCTACTTTTCAACTCTCCCTGAGCTAAACCAAGTTTAAGAACCGGCGGAAATAAGATTTAAAATATTTTTTGCCGTGTTATGAATCAACTCCCATTAATGCACTACATGCTATGAACACATTCGTTTTCGGGTCCAAGGAAAACAGTAAATTCTTCTTCCCTAGATACCGTCTCCAATCCTCCACGAAAGGGTCTCGTCGTCAAATCTCCCACCTGTTCCCGTCTCTTCTTGAATCTCCGCGACTCTCTTCTTCTCGACTCCGATCTCCAGATATAGAAACCCTCTACCAGGACGAAGATGATGAAGATGGTGGTTCTGCTCCTTCTCCTCTCCTCCTGCTGGGTCCAGTCCACGCCACTACCTCCGGCCTGTGATGACGGACGCCAGGACGTTTTTCCAGAATCCTGCAGCTATGGATGGACCCTGGATAAATGTGGACATCTTGTGTGTTTAAAAGGACCTGGAGAAATGTGCGGAGGAAAGTTTGGAAGGTTAGTAATTATTTTTGTATCATTCAAAGCGACTAAATTCTGACTGTTGAAGGTGTAGGTTGAAAATGATATGTTTAGGTTGAACATGATATGTTTAGGTTGAACATGATATGTTTAGGTTGAAAATGATATGTTTAGGTACGGAATTTGCTCTGATGGATTAATGTGCACAAACTGTAACCGTTGCCAGGGCTGTTCTTTCCTCACATTTATGTGCTGGGATGATCATAATTGTATTTGGTGATCCATTCCTGTACAATCTCCGACCCGGAGCTAACTGCTCCTGGTATTGATCCATATATTAAGTAAGACTGATCCTGAACCTTGCTCTCTCTCTAGGAGAGGACGGATATGTTGTTGGATACATTATCTCATCAAATATGAAGTATCGTAAGCAGTTGTATTATAAATAACAATTTACCTTAATAATGTCAGATGTTTAAATTATTATATCAGTTTATTAAAAGTTATATTAGCTTTACAAGTTTATTATTCAACAGAGAATTAGAGGAATATGCCAAGGAATTGGCGAAAAAATTGAAGACGACCAAAAAATATGAATTCTCATATTTAATGTTTATTCGGACACACTGTAAAATATACATATTAGTTTGCCTTTCCATAGTGTCTAACTTGAAAAATATACATATTCCATAGTGTCTAAAATGTGCAAGTGGGTGAGGTGTTCAATTTAAAATTAATTAACCGTTCTCAACATAATTTTCTTTTTAAAATATTTTAAACAATTGAGGAGAATAATATTTTGAACATTATTTTTAATTGGTTTCTAAAATGAAATAAAAATATTTTTGATCCTTTACTCACTGCATGCTATCCATAAACTATAAAAATATTTTTGATCCTTTACTCACTGCATGCTATCCATAAAATATAAAAATATTTTTGATCCTTTACTCACTGCATGCTATCCATAAAATATAAAAATATTTTTGATCCTTTACTCACTGCATGCTATCCATAAAATATAAAAATATTTTTGATCCTTTACTCACTGCATGCTATCCATAAAATATAAAAATATTTTTGATCCTTTACTCACTGCATGCTATCCATAAAATATAAAAATATTTTTGATCCTTTACTCACTGCATGCTATCCATAAAATATNTCTTTTTAAAGGAATGATTCCATCATAGATTAATAACAATACTGATAGAACACTAGATGTTGTCTTTTCAAGATTTAGGGGTTTTTAAAGTTAAAAATAACCCTGAATTACAATTACAATTAATCTCATGGATTCCATGTTCAAAGGTAGATTTGCCAGTATATTGGGAATGTACTGTCAGTAAATGATGTAATAAAAGTTAGTAACATCGGCTTCTAGTATTTTCTCCGAACTTTAAGATTGACTAATTTAGCCAATAAAAATAAAAAATGCTGTCCGGAACTTTTTGGACCAACCAAATATTTTTTGTCGGCAATTTTATATCACAAAAAAATCTTTTTTTAACATTTCCTTCTCATATCGGTGATATCCCTTTATTCATCGGATATAATCCTGGAAAACTCTCTGATAAATACAGGGGCATTTATTCATCAGAGAGTTTTCTTTCTTAGCATATATCCCTTTATTTACATAGACATCCATATATTTATAAAAAAATACCTTTATCTATATCCCTTTATTCATAAAAGATATCCCTTTATTTACATGATATACCTTTCTTTATCATATATGTTTATTCATCTTTCTTCATCAGAGAAATCCCTTTCTTCATCAGAAATATCCCTTTTTTATCAAATATTTATCTATATTTGTGGAACATTTTTTGTCCAAAACCTTTTTCAAATATCATACTTCATATCTTCTCCCTATTTTTTATTTAAAANGGGGTTGATGAGGTTAGGGGGCTACGTGGGTTGCTTCAGTGACGACCTTAAATACAAAACAGAAATAACGACCAAAATTATAAAATACATAATATCAAAATCTTTACTGGTTAGGCTAGGGTTTCCTTCGTGGCGTACAATTGTAAAAATTGTAAAAGTTGACTATTGACAAACCCCAATTTAAACGTGTATTAAATAGAAATAAGCATAAGTAAAGTATGCCGTTGCGTCCTTATATCTCCTCCAAAAAGTGTAAAAAACATTTTCAAAAACAAAACTTGAAAGGAACTGAATGAAGGAAAGAGGTGTTCAAGGTACACGTGGGTTTAACGGTTCTGTCAATATTTTCAGAAAGCTGTGACTTTCGATCACAATTTCACCAATTATACATAATTGTTTAGCCTTTTTTCTTAAATACTTTTTGGTCGGCATATACACTTTGAATGAAAAATATAAATAAACAAATCTGTAAGTTTATAGATTGATGAATTATAGATCAAAACACGTTTGATTTCAAATAAAAGAAATAGAATGCTTCTCACTCTGGTTAGTCCAGGGTGGGTGTACTGTACTGCAATCGTATCGATCTATCGAATGATCGAATTCATGGTTTTTATGTATCCATAAAGATTTAGTGATATCAACAATAAAATGCAGATAACAACATTTTTAAAATTTATTGTTATGATATCACCAGACATGTACATTGTACATATTGTAGTGACTTTTTCGAGTGACTTTTTTAACTATAACGGTGTCCATAGAACAGTGTGAACAGGAAACAAGGATAAATTAATGTTAAAAATAATAATTTTAAAATTGTCTAAACAGTAAAACAAAATGGAAAAATATATTAGAATTTTGCGAATTTCTCATGTTAAAGTGAACCCTAGAAACAATGCACTTCGCTGTATTTAGTTCTACGTAATTCTTCAAAAATGATTATTTTATTATATTTTTTTTAATGCAAAAGAAAAAATGTTTAGTTGGGATCGATATAGAATGCTGCGATGAAAAATGGGGGTGGATAGATATTATAGTTGCCCTGTCCCATAACCCCCCCCCCCC